TTGTGCCACCAGGAAGAGCCCACAAAGTATTTTTAAAAAACTATTTATTATTTACTGTGTGTTATTGCTGTGCGGAACTGTGTTAAATTCACTATCTCACTTAATCCCCCAGGAAGCTAATTGTGTCCTGGAGGGTCCAGGCTATCTAGGTGGAAATAGGTGCAGAGTATAGGTAACTGGCCAAGAGTTACACTAGGAATTGCAGAGCCACCACTCAAAGGGTCCTTGCGGCCACTGAATGAGATCAGGCAGGCAGAAAGTGCTTATTAAGTTTAATCCTTAAAAAAGAGAATATAATCTATAGAGAGATAGCATAATTATACTACAATGGGCAATGAAAATAGCTTTTCTTGTAGAGATACTAATTATTATTAGCAAATGACCGTTTGACTATAAGAACTGAGAATATAGTGCATTTTCTTCCAGGGATAGGATGCTAGATCAGCTCATAATCACAGTTCTTTGATCACATAAAACTTGAGGTGAGAATTGTATTTATTCCACTGTAAAAATGCAAAGTAGCAAGTAGACATAAACATTTTAAAACTTTCAATTTTTTTTTTTAAATAATTGAATGTGGGATGGAAGAAACAGTCACAACTGTTGCTTCATGTTTTCCTCTTTCTTCCAGATGTGTTCTGTCCATAAGGACATGGTTCAACGATAACTTCTTTAGATGTGTTCTAACAAAAAGGAGTTGAGGTTTAGGTTTTGGGTAAATTCCAAGAAAGAAAATGTTAGCAAAATTATGGTTAGATGTTAAGTATCCTCCAAAACTTCCTTTTATGTCTCATCTTATTGCTTACCGTGACTTTATTCATTGAATGATAAATGATGTCTTGTCATCATATACTTACTGAGGTAAAAACAATAAGCATTTTTTTGTAGTAAAAATCTATGTATTCTGAGTTCTTTTTCCTAATAAAGATTAGTTGGAAATTTAGATGAGGTTGGTTTTATCTCTCTTCAAAATAATTTCATTGATTTGTGCTCCATGTTATACTGTTAACTTTTGTCAGAAACAGAAACTAGTAAATATATTCCAGAAATTGCATTAGAAAAATCTTAACAGAAACAACCTCATCACCTTTATTTCCATGAGAAGCGTATGGAGACTTTTTCTTTTTCTTTTTTTTTTTTCAGAATTAAGCATAAAGTAAAGCACAGAATTATCTAAACTCCTCTTCTTGGTGGTAACTGTCACCATGGATCTTGTTATGCTTCTTTTTCCATCACTAGAATAATCTAATAGGTACATAATCCCAATCAATATTGACTTCAGTTAAATATTAAGAGCTTATACTTTGTGATTTTGCTTCCCCTCTGTTTCTTAGAAATAGAAAATTGGGCCTCATTTTGTAATCTTACTTTAGTTATTTTTAGGGAAAGGTATACATATATATAGTATATATAAATTTATCTTATTGTGTTTTTAAAAGCAAGTGTTTCACTGATGTTATTTCATTTTTTTCTTTGTACAGTTCCAGGACAAAGCCAAGATTTGTCTTGAGATAAAATGTTATTGATGAAGAAATTTAGAATCCTAGAAGATAGAGGTTTAGTTCAGAAATTTGGATAAGTATACAGAAAAGGTCACATTCAAATCTCTCCTTAAAGCTTACAGAAGCCTTGCATAAAGGGGCTTCTTTAAAACATAATTTCTAAGTAATATTCCATTGTATATATGTACCCCATCTTTTTTATCCAGTCATCTACTTTTGGGCATTTGGG